CTGAAAAGATTAAGTTGCAGAAGAAGAATTCATCTTGAGCTAGTCTATTCATAGTGGTGATAAGATTTAGTGGATCTGTTCCAGTACCTGGCACATCGAGACACTTTATAACACAAGTGAATGAGCAAAATTGGGTGGGTATCTCTATTTTACAGATGAGTGAATTGTAGAAACTTCTTGGGGTCACCAGACTAATAAATATGGAACGAAGATCTAGAATTCAGAGATCTGATATCAAAATGCAAATATAATTTAGCTGTCTTAATCAGGAGAGTCAAAGGCTGTGCTGCAAGAATAAATTAACCCCTACATCTCAGTGATTTAAGTATAAGAAAGGCATATTACTCACTTGTGGAGGTTTCAATACTGGTTGGGTAACTGTTCAAGGCAGCTACAGTAAATTTTTATTATTCGTGATACTTATGTTTTATAAAGTTGCAGCAAACAACTGAATTAGTGACTACTGAACCATTGCTCCCAGGAGAAATACAGGGTTAGGTTCCTGTGGGCCTCTGGTCACAACATTTTCATCAACTGATCAAATATATAACCTTGGTTTTCTTTGTGTTTCTGTTTATAGATACCTTATTTAATATATGTTGTTGATTGATTAACATTGAACTCATGGCCAACAACACTGTGACTCATGCCTGAATGAAGCTTTTCTTTTCTTTTCTTTTCTTTTTTTTTTGAGACAGAGTTTCGCTCTGTCACCCAGGCTGGAGTGCAATGGAGCGATCTCGGCTCACTGCAATATCTGCCTCTCGGGTTCAAGTGATTCTCCTGCCTCAGCCTCCTGAGTAGCTGGGATTACATGTGCCCGCTACCGCGCCCAGCTAATTTTTGTGTTTTTAGTGGAGGCGGAGTTTCACCAGGTTGGCCAGGCTGGTCTCGAACTCTTGACCTCAGGTGATCCACCTGCCTCAGCCTCCCAAAGTGCTGGGATTACAGGCGTGAGCCACCTCGCCTGGCAATGAATGAAGCGTTTCTAGCATAGTTTATAAGGCACATTACAGCCTTCTTGCTCTTAAGAACACCGTACAACACTTTGGCATTAAGTGTAAGAGCCGTTTAAAACAGTGAAATCATCAACAAATAGCCCCAAAATGCAAAAAGTGCATCACTAGATAGACCTTAAAAAAGACACTTACTGGCCGAGCACGGTGGTCACGCCTGAAATCCCAGCACTTTGGGAGGCTGAGGTGGGCGGATCATGAGGTCAGGAGATTGAGACCATCCTGGCTAACATGGTGAAACCCCGTCTCTACTAAAAATACAAAAAATAGCTG